CCTGCCAAGTCCATTCCCTCACGCTCTGACTGCTCTTCCTACCTAAGCAAGTGGGCATATGGAGCACTTTGAACTAGATGACCAATACAGACCATTGGCTAGACTAGGCTAGTAGGTCTGTTTTATAAGAGTTTGAATCGGACTCACTATTCAACTATTGTTGATAGCTAGTCAGTCCCCACTGATAACATGGAATCTTAGATGTTAGCTGGTTTGAGGGATATGAATGTCATTTTGATAGCAGAAATATTTTCCTCCATATACACAAATAGAAAAAGCTAGAAAGGGAAAATGAAAGTCATGTATAGGGAGAGATGATGACTGTAGACCACTTTCTCCAAGGAAGTAACCTCAGATTCTGTACAACATCCGCTTCTAGTTTTTTCGGCTTTTTGTTTTCTTTTGTTTTGTTTTTTTGTGGCAGAACTGGGGACTGAACTCAGGCCCTTGCGCTTGCCAGGGAAGCACTTATTCTACTGAGCCATCTCCCCAGCCCCACCACTTCTAGTTTGGATCCCTTGCATTCTTCACAAAAATGTCTTTGCATAAGCTAATAGATCTGTTTTACCCAAACAACCTTGATAAAGTAGTGATTTATAATTTAATGAAGAACCTCATTTTGAGACTCACAATACCCTAAAAAAGTAACAAAGACAATGTTCTCAATCTTTACGAATGTGAAGCATTTACACTGTGGGACCTGTTTTCTTGGTACCCAGATGAAGTGTGCAGGCTGTCCAGGAGAGAAAAAGACATCAGAAGAGGAGATCCATGGAGTAAGAGACTACGTGAAGGCAAACCTCCCAGCACGCAACTGCAAGAATGGCTGTCTGCCAGCGAAGAACAGGGCAGGAGAGCCACTCAGTTAACACAGGATTCATGTGGTATTATACACTGTTGTTGCATCAAGCCATTTGCTCAAAAGGTGGCTTACTAGACAACAACAAATAAAAAGAAACATGTAACTTTCTCCTGTATCTCAAAGCTACTAAATGGAGCTTGAATCTCCTGACTGTTTTTTGGTAACTTATTCACTGCTCAAATGTGACTGAAATTGAAGAAAAATAACTCAGAAGTTTCATACATGTCATTTAAATAATAGAAAATGAATTTTAGCACAGAACATTCAGTTGTGAAATTATCCTGTCAGCATGTAAATGAATTAAAAATATATGTATGTAAATGTGGACAGGTAGGAGACTGTTATTAAAATACCATGGTTACACAATGACTAAATGCTTTTTTCCTCTGTATTCAAAGAATTTTTTAAAAACCTACTAAAGGTAGAATATACAACAATGCTCATAGCAGTATTACTTCTAACAGGAAAAATGAGGGGAAGGAGAGAAAATAAACCAATCACAAGAAAAAGAACAAATCGAGCCAGTGAGAGAGCCCTGTAGACTAAACACCTGCCTAGGCAAACACAGAGACCTGGTTTGATTCCTAGCATCACAGGCCATGTTGGCCCTGCCCCCAAGCACACTGAGAAGGCCACTGAGATTGCATGGTGGTACACGCTATAATTCCAGTACTTGGGAGGCTGAAAACAGGAGGATCACTATGATTCTGAGCTGCATAATGAAACCCTGTACCAAATACATTAAAAAAGAAAGAAAGGGGGGCTGGTGAGATGGCTCAGTGGTCTAAAGCACCTACTTAGAACAAGCTTAGCAAAGCATAGGGACCGTGGTTCAATCCCCCAGCACCACATGCCAGCCAGCCCCACCCCCTGGTGGGCTGAGCTGGCCACACACACACACACACACACACACAAAAACAACAACAAATAAATAAATAAACTTTAAAATAAATAAATAAATAAATAAAAAAGAAAGAAAGAAATCTCAATATATCCAGTTTTAGGGTTTTAATCTTTCATTTATTTATTTATTTGGTACAGGGTCTCACTACACAAGTCAGACTCGTAGTGATCCTCCTGTCTCAGCCTCCCCAGCACCGGGATTATAGGTGTGTGCCACCACATGTGGTTTCAGTGGCTGGCATAGCAGGGCCAGCATGGCATGAGGTACCGGGGATTGAATACAGGTCCTTCTGCTTGCCAGGCAGTCACTTAGAAAGCCAAGCTATCTCCTCAGCCCTAGATCCAGTTTTATACAACAACATGGGTAAATCTCAAAAATGTAAACAATAAAAAGAAGGTGAAAGAATATGAGCAGCTTAATGTCATTTATACAAAATTTCCCAAGTATAAACCTTCGCAACATACTGTCTAGGAAAACATGTAATAAAAGCAGTAATGAAAATAACGGGGATAGGGCTCCCCAAAGAGCTCAGTGGATACACAGGAGCCAGGGGTTCAATCCCTGGACCTGCAGTGCCAGCTCCGCCCCTGGGGTGTGCTGAGATAGCAGTTGAGACTGGGTGTGGTGGCACATGCTTGTAACCCCAGCTCTTGGGAGGCTGTAAACAGGCAGATCACTACAAGTCTGATCTAGTAGTGAGACCCTGAATACTTGTAGACCCTTCCTTAAAAATACAAAAAAGAAAATAACAGGGATGATATGAACAAAATTTTAAATAGTAGGATCTCTTCTACAAAGTAAACAGGTCACTTGCAAAACAGCACAAAGAGAGCCCTTAATATTGGTCATATTTCCTTTCTTAATCTGGTTGGTAGATATATGAGTATATTTTACAAAACCCTATAGTTTTACAAAACAGCAAAACAGCACAAAGAGAGCCCTTAATATTGGTCATATTTCCTTTCTTAATCTGGTTGGTATATATATGAGTATATTTTACAAAACCCTATAGTCATTACATATCCCAGGCTAGCCTGGAACTCAAAATGCTCCTGCCTCAGCCTCCTAAGTTATGGGATTGCAGGCATTCACCAGAATACTGAGCTAAAAATACATTCAAAAAACCAAAGTGGGGGAAGAAAAGAATATAACAAAAGAAAATTAAATCATCTCTGATATGTGCTAAATCACAAAAAATAGTCCAAAATACTCAATGATTTTATTTATTTATTTTTGTATTTTAGGGAAGGGTCTACAGGATGTTCAGGGTCTCACTTCTAGATTGGACTCATAGTGATCCACCTGTTTATAGCCTCCCAAGAGCTAGGATTATATATGCAAGCAACCATGCCCAGTCTCAATTGCCATCTCAGCATGTCTCTGGGGTGGGGCTAGCAGACAGGCACAGGGATTGAACCCCTAGCCCCTGTGCCTGCTTGTAGGCACTTTAATCCGCTGAGCTATTTGGTCGGCTCTCTGAATAATTTTATTTTAAAAGGATTAAAACTTCCAGGCATGGTAGTACAAGCCTTTAATCCCAGCATTGTGGGTAATTAAACCAGAAGAATTACAAATTTAAGTCAAGTCTATGCAATTTAGCAACTTAGTGAGACCTTGTTCAAAACTTAAAAAGGGTTAGGGAATGTAGCTCATTGTGAAAGCCTTGGATTTAATTCCCAGTATTGAAAAAAAAAAAAATTGATACCAAGAAAAAAGAGGTATTTATATATAGTGCTTCAGTTAGCTCTTTCCAGTTAGCTTTGTGGGACTCAACTTTATTGAGACAGAATCTCACTATGTAGTTCAGACTGATCTTGAACCCTCCATCTAGCCCAGGCTGGCCTGAAACTTGCAATAATCTTTCGGCCTCAGGCTCCCAAGTGCTGGGTTTACAGGTGTTTGTCATCATGCCTGGTTTACTTGTGCTGTTTTAAAAAAATAAAAATCTCTTTCCAAACCCAGGAACCTGTCCTTCCAGAGGAGGACCTGGAAAATGACCTAGACTGTCCATCAAATGTCTGCCCTGGACAAGAGTCCCTGCAAAGCCCACACAGACTATTTTTGTTTTATTTTTTTTTTATTTTTTTAATTCATTTTAATGAGAAAAAAAGATAAAATAGCAATGAAACAGTTTCAAAATAGGTTAGTAGGACAGTTACAATAATTAATGCATTGTATATTGTTGTCTTCATAGTAGTTATTCAGAGGACAAGATGTAGACATGATATCTTGTCTAAACAATATTAGTACAAACCTTTCTTATCAATGAACTAAGAGAAAGTAGCTGTATATCCTAACTATCTTGTGTATGTATATGTACATATACATATGTGTATATATATATATATATATATTTTTTTTTTCCCACAACAAAATGGTATTTTGCTTATACTTTTGCAAAGTTAGTAACACGTGACACAAGGTTTCCTAATGACTAATAGCTCACTTTAACCAACCAGGACTGAGGTAACTTGTTTGCTTTAGGCACTGAGGTCTAGTCCCACCTACACACATTTGATCGATTTCCTATTTTCCATGGCTCCCAACATATCCACCTTTTCTGTTTTGCCACATAGACTATTAAGACACCCATATTCTTTTCTGGCTAGAGTTGAATGCATCAGGAATGGGCAGATAACTCAAAGCCGGGCAATCAGAGGCTGCCACCTGCCTTCCTCTCCAGCTTTGCTCCTATTCCCTCCCTTGAAGTCAATGTATGCAGTAATTATACCTTTTCTTCACAAATTCTGCTATAATCATCAAATAACTATATATTTATGTAACTATTCATATCTGTCTTTCCTCCTAAATTGTAAGCGTCCTGAGGGTAAAAAGGATAAGGTTTTGCTCACTACTGTGTTACATCAACTAGCAAAATTTCTGACACATGTTGGGTATTCAGTAAGGTTTCTGTTCATTTTTTTATTTTGTTTTTAGTAAAGGACAAAGGTTTCTCTGAAGCTTTTTCAGTCTTAAACAAAATCTCACTAAGTTGCTCAGGGTGAACTTGAATTTTCCATCCTTTTGCCTCAGTCACTGAAGCATCTGGGATTATAGGTATGTGCCACCATGTCTCGTTGAAGCTTTATCCTTATATCTCTAAAGCTTTAACCTATTTTCACATATGAAATTACACCCATTTGAACACACCAAAGCTAAGACAAAAGATTCTTCATGTAGGTCAATGTCACTGAATGCCACACTACATTTGACAAGTAGTTTGTAGAAACATACCTGAATGAAGTTGAATTTTCCCAATAACACCTTCTACCAATCCCAAACAAATAGGATTCCAGGCAAGAAGTAAATCAGTAGCTAAAATAAAATGAGAACAGTCATAAAAATATATTCATCAGAAAACATATTAAAACAATTATCTTACCAATATATTAAAAAAAATCAACACCCCCAAACAACAGAAATAAACAGCCAGCACTGAATGTTATACCGTAAAGCAAATGGTGAAAAACCATGAAGCTGGAAGCCTAAATAAGTATCTAATACTAAGACAATTATGGGGAGAGGACTTCAGAAACTCAACCCAGATGGGAAACAGCACTTTGGCGCCCTACAGTGGAAGAAAGAGGCTGCTACACTACATGAGGGCAAATGGGAGAAAGGGCTCAAAGTCCTGTAGCATAGAGCCAGATCGCCATACAACTGTCCACTTACTGGATCACACTGCAAAATACCTCTTCCCAAAGGCATATACAGAGCAAAGAAATCCAGAAAGTCACTGCTCTTACATACAACTTTCAGGGCAAAAACCAATAGGAACTATTTCTATTTATTTAGTGTTTCTATGTGCTGGGCATCTCAATCAGGACTTTTTATCTGAACCACAGAACAGACCACAATGATGTGGGTGACTGTCTCCTCCCCTATGAGAAACAAAATGGCATATAACTGGTACCATAATGCACATGAGAGAAGCAAATCCATTATACGCACATGGATGCCTAAAGATAACAAGGAATTAATTCTCCTGGGGGACCCAAGTTGATAAACATGACATCTGTAATAGTTCAACAACTGAAACAGATTAACAACAATGAAAACAATGTTTTTCTTGGCAGAAAACTAAAACTGCACTTTAATTATTACCATTTAAATTTTATTTTAGCGAAACATACTTAATCTATAACTCCCACAGTAATTACACACTTAGTAGTTTAGTTTTAAAATTTATTTGAATATTATTATATTATATATTACCATTTCTAATCTTGACAACTTTGTGAGTTAGGTATTAGAAGTCCTATTTGATAGTATAAGGAAGTTAATGGTCATGCCATTAATTAGAAAGAGTATGGTCATGCCACACAGAGGCTGGGGACAAAGGTGTAATAAAAAACAAGATGAATTTGGATGTGGTAGCACAGACCTGTAATCCCAGTACTTAGGAGGCTGGAAGATTGCTTTGTTATATTCTTGCTTAGGAGGAATATAGGAGGATTGATGTAAGTTTCAGGCCTGGGCTACACAGTAAGTTCAAGGTCAGCCTGGAGTAGGTAACAAGACCAAATAAATAAATAGTAAACAAGTGGACTCAAGAGACTGAGGCAGGAGGACAGTCACTAATTTGAGGCCAGTCTTGCAATCTCAGCCTCACAGTGAGTTTGAGCCCCTTGAGCTATACTGTGAGAACTTGTCTCAAAAAAAAGAAAGAAAGTAAAGTGGACCTAGCTCAAATCTGTCCTCCAAAACATCCTGCCTGTAGTGCCTCCCTCAGAAACTACACATGGAGCTAATCAGTCAAACAAGAAGTTTTATACAGTATGCTTTATTATAAAAGTAACACAATAAAATTTAGGAAAAATTATTTTCCCACCTTATCACCCAGAGATAACATTATTTTGCTACATTTCAGGCCATATGTTTGCACAGCAAACTGCAAAAACATAGCATTACACTTTCTAATTGCTTTAAAATATTCTTCAAAATTATAACTTCATGGTTTCATAATTTTCCACCTAAGGAAATACTTCCTCCCTTTTGTGCATTTAAGTGATTACAAGTTTTTCTCTTGTATGAAAAACACTGATAAATGATGAATATTATAGAAATATTTCAAAAAAAAGAAATATTTCATTTTTCTCCTTAAGAGCTTTAGGACTAATTCCTAAGAAGGAACTTATTAGGTTAAAACATTAAAAATGCAAAGCTCTCAGTTACTACCAAACTGCTTTCTACAAAGGTCATACCAAGTAAGCTTTCTTCCAGAAGCATATGTAAATGCTTGTTTTACAGTACTTTTGCCAGTAGTTTTTTAAATTTTGCTAATTCAACAGCATCCACTGCCTAAAGGATGTTCGCCTTTTTTCTATTACTCATATGATTAAACATTTATTTATAAAATTGGCTGTTATTTCTTCTACTGCAATTTTCTTGCTAGTATCTTCTAACAATTTCTCTTTATTGGTATATGAGTTCTTTTATATTAAGGACTTTAAATCTTTGACATCTTTATTTTTAATTTGTATAAGAATCTACCATTTTCATTATGTTTACATTTAAACATGATGTTTATAATTTAGATTTTCATTATGTATCCTTAGCTGAATATCAGTAAGGACTGTCTATGTGACTGTCTCTCTGTTTCTGTCTGTCTGTCTCTGTCTCTGTCTCTGTCTCTGTCTCTCTCTCTCTCTCTCTCTCTTTCTCTTTCTCAGTGCTGGGGACAATACAGGACTTCACACATGCTTGGACAAAACTCTAGCATGGAGCTATACCCACACTCTCATCACTTTTATCTTTGTTAATTTTTAAATATTTAAATCTAACTTTATTGCAAGCCAGAATCCATGTATCACATAAACCAAGTCTAAATATCTCTGAATATACTCTTGCCAAGGAAAAGGTTTCACCCACTCTAACCTCCAACAAATAGGCCATGTTGTAAGACTCTCTCCCACTGAGTACCAAATGAGCTCTATCAAATGAGGTACAGGAAAGCAGAAGAAAAAGAGCTAAAGTAGACAGAGTAAGTTACACAGAAGAATGGAATTTCAAGCATAAAAAGAAAAGAGAAATAAATTATACAAAGGAAAGTATAGTTTGTCCTGGAATTTGTCCTATCATTGGAGAAACACATGATCAAATACCTGCCAGGAACCAGACACGGTATCAGGCTAAAATGATGTAAAAATAAAGGAGTCCAGAAAACAGAAGATCAGTGGATATAGTATACATCTGAATTTCATTTAAGAGTGGAAAAGTGAAATAAGGCCAATTTGTAGAGAGACTTCAATAAAAGGTAATGGGCCCACACTTCCCAGAATTGGTGGCAAGTAGATAACGACAAGTAAAAACAACACTACATCCAGGAATTATATTTAGGTTGATATAATGAATACTCATCCAAAAGTTAAAAGTGAGAGAGAAACAGAGAGGAAGGAGGAGGAAGGAAGAAGACGGAGGAGGGAGAAGAGGGGAAGAGGAAGAGGAAGAGGAAGAGGAGGAGGAGGAGGAAAGAGGGAAAAAGGAAGGGACTGAGACTGAATCCAAGACCTCTGCCCTAAGGCTACAGCCCTAGCTCTTTTTTTGTTTGTTTTTTACTTTGAGACAGCAACTCCTTAAATTGCTGAGTTGGCCAGACTAGGCTGAACTCTTCTTGGTCCTCCTACCTCAGCCTCCAGAGCACTACAATTATAGGTATGCTCCACCTTGCCAAGCTTAGTGTTTCCAGTTGCCTGAGGTCCACTGTAGGAAATGTTTTTCTAACATGGTTTAGATGTTAGAAACAAAATTCATGAAATTTGAATAAAGGTAGAGACTGGAAGTATGGAAATCTGCAAGGTTACTGCAAAATTCTTACTTGAAATGACACAATGGGTCACAACAAATGTTGCGAAGTAGGCTGGCAGTAGGTAAAGAATGCACAAGATAGGAAGCACCTCAAAGGAAGCTGCAGGAAAGCCAGAGAAAGAATGAATCAAATACGATACTGAAATACCCATTCTCTCTTGAGTGGGAAAGGACAAGGACATGAACAAAAAAACATAAGACAGAGTAAGACAGAAAGGGGAGGGTATATAGCAACTTAAAAAGGCAGGTGGATGAATTGCCTTAGTCTAAAGGATTGCAGCCCGTAAGTATCTACAGAAGATCATCACGATTAAGAAGCTACATATGGGGCTGGTGAGATGGCTCAGTGGTCTAAAGCACCTACTTAGAACAAGCTTAGCAAAGCTCAGGGACTGCGGTTCAATCCCCCAGCACCACATGCCAGCCAGCCCCGCCCCCTGGTGGGCTGAGCTGGCCACACACACACACAAAAAAAAAAAAATTTAAAAAAAAAAAAAAAAAAAAAGAAGCTACATATGTTCCTACTGGCTCATCAGATTGAGTGCTACTGCCTACCTCCTACACACTGCCCTTGCCCCATACCTACCAGGTGAATTCCTTAAGTAGATAGAACTGTGACTTGCTCACATACCTACTGCATTTCTTGTGTGACCATGACACAATCAGACATGGACAAGTAGCTGGTTAATCCCAATGGATCATGTACTGTTTAATAAAATCATTTTGGAAGAGTTCGGCAAAATTAAAAAAAAAAAAAAAGGCAGGTGGAAATCTCCTAATTCAATGTCCTTTTGTATCACTGACTTTTGTGTTTTTTTTGTTTTTCTTGGGGTTTTTTTGTCTTTTTTAAGACAAGGTCTTGCCATAAAGTTCAGGCTGGCCTTGAGCTAACTTTGTAGCCCAGGTTGGCCTCAAACTCACACAAACCTTCCTGCTTCAGCCTTCCAAGAGCTGGGATTACAGACATGTGCCACTATGCCTGGCTTGATGCTCTCATGGATGCATCCTAAAAATTCCTTTTCCAAGATGAGAATCAAAACTATTTAATGGGCTGAGTTGAAATCCTCACCTCCTTTTGGGGGGAACACCGCAGGTTCTGTTGGGCAACAAGTTTATGATGGAATGACAAAGAAATATCTCTAAGAATGAGAAAAGATAGTGAAGGAGGAAAAGAAACTAGATGATGATGACATCACAGTACAGGTATAAAATTTAACCTTAAAAAAAAGATTTTTGGGGGGGTGGGGAGATGGCTCAGTGGAATAAGCACTTCCCTGGCAAGCGCAAGGGCCTGAGTTCAATCCCTGGTTCCGCCAAAAAAAAAAAAAAAAAAAAAAAAAAAAAAAGATTTTTTTTTTTCTTCTAAGTCTGAAAGAAAAGATGAAAAGCTAAATATAGAAGAGAAGAGAAGCAAATGAGATCAGATGGCCCTGACTCAGTAAAACTAAGTCAAAATCATCTTTGTTTTAGCAAGAAGAATAAGAGTTAACAGGGCCCTGGAGGCTTCA